GCCACGCTACGACGATGGATTGCAGGACAACCCGGAAAATCACAGGCATGACGGAACCGACACCGGAGGAATTGCGATGAGCACCGACCAGCGTTCCAAGAGTGACAAATAGTGGACGACGACGGGGTACCAGACGCTTCAAGGGAGCTGGAGGACGAGGAAAACGAAGTAGATACCCGCGAAGCAGGAGTAGAAGAAAACTCCCGGCGCCGAATATATGAAAATTATACAGCTCCGGGTGGAGTTGTAACCAATCGGTGAGGCGGAGAGCAGCTGCATGGCGACGAAAAGCGCGATCGTACGCGATCCACGCCGAGCCAAGATGCTTCTGAGCGGAACGCAAAATAAGTAGCTGGTAGCGAAGCAAATCCGGGGAGCGAGACGGCCAAAAAATCGTCATCACGAGGATATAAACAGAAAAGGCTGGGAGCCAAGTCACAATATCTGTAATTTCCTTAGGGCGCTTTGACGGTCGCAAAACTAGTTCGTTATCCCCGATGGTAAACGAAGGAGCGTCATGAACTGAAGTTTCTTCGATAAGAGAGGCCAACTCGACCAACTTGCCGTTGAAAATTGATGCCATAAGCTTTGGGGATACCGGAGGAAACCAGGCCCGACCACGAAGGGAGAAAAAGCCGATACGGTAAGCGTAGAGAAGCGAGGGGGCGAGGCAATACCACCAGAGGCTAAAAAACACCCGGCGAAACAAACCCCATCCCGGGGCCCGGGGACGTAGACGAAGAAAACAAATATGGCGTACCTGAAGGGACAGACTATCAGCTAAATCCCGAAACTTTACAGTTGACGCCATCTTGAATTTAGCCACGGAGAGGCGTGGATACTAGTAAGTTTACTTCCTCTTTTCAACGTGTAGGCAAATATATTTATTAAAAATAAACCTGTCCCTCACCGTAAACTCTAAAACTAACCAGAAGGTATTGTAAATTCAATTATTTCAATATTGAAAAAGGTTTAAAAAAATTCAAAAAAATTGTGAAAATAAAAAAGACCATACCAGGGATCGAACCGGGATATTCCGCACACAGGGAAAGCTCATTACCTTTTGACCACTAGAGCGCTGCTAGAATTTTCCGTATTTTAGCTGTATTTATATTGTTCACAAACGAAAAATAGATCAAACAGACGTGGTTACAAAGCTAAAGTGTAAAGTTTCGGGATTTAGCTGCTATTAAGGGACAGGATTTTGAATCCGATACAACGGCTGCTGCAGCGTCTGTTGAGGCGGTTGCCAATGTCCAGCTACGGCACGATCTTGTTGTTGGGTAACCGTAGGCGTCGCTGATTGAAGTAACACGGGTTGTGGTGGCTGCTGAGCGAAAAATGGTGTCAAACTTGGATGACTCGATGGCCAAGTAGAAGCAACACTGACGATTTGTTGATTTGCAATAGCCGGCGATGGAACACGAGTTGGGAATAACGGTGAAGCAATATGCTGGTGTAAACTTGGCTGAAATTGCCGAGATGGCGACGAGCGAACGGCAAGGGGAGCCGTAGCGATCAACTGCGATGCCACTGTTGAAGTTGTAACAGCAGACACGACTGGTGAGCTAGTTGGCGTTAAACTCAAAGCAACTCCTTGAAGAGACATATTTTCCTGAGCCATTATAGCGAAATAATTTTGTTGGACAAGGTTGTGACGGCATCGATTCACGCAAGCAACTAACAACTCGATCAGGCAAACTGGGCTCATATTTGTACTCACCGGAGGGGGCAAGTAGCCGACCGGACAAGCGTCCTAGGACCCGTGACACTACGATACGAAGACCCGTATAACCTTAACTTCCTTTATTATTTAATAATAAATACATTTAATTAATTTTGTCCGAATTACCATCTCGCTATACGTGCATAAATTCATCACTCCATGATGCAAATAGGAGTAGGCAATCCCATACCAGTAAAACGTATAAATAGATCCTTGCTTTAATGCCTCTATACACACATGCACGGTGTGCAAAAACACGAAAACTTAAAGTCTGAAATCATTCTATAAACTTTACAAAGCAGGACAAAAATTATTAGACGAATATTTCTATTCAATGATGTGTACAATTATTTAAACAACAATAACTTGTGAAGGTGAACTTAAACTGTCTATATATGGCTAAGAATGACATGTTGTCACACTCATTTTTGTCTGTCTTCATTGCATGTAAATGTCAACTTCTGGTTTTTCATATAAAGCGGAACGCAATTAAACGCAATAATTACACTCTTCATCCTTTAAGTCCGACGTTTTGTTTCTACACATATTTGCTATCAATCTGTGTAACTCTCCCTGCTGAGCAGAGTTCAATTTTCTATTATTTTTTGCGTGTTAGCAACATACGCAAAATCCAGAATTTATATTCTGCCTGTTTAACATTTTTACAGACAAATGAAAACCTTTACTTCGAAAATAATACACAACAGGATCAATAATTGTGTTGAAAACTATCAAGGGAGCAGTAAAATTTAATGCACGATAAAACACAACAGGATCTTTTTCTCTGTCGATATTATTATAGTTACAATTGTTGCTGGCAACCAACATGCCCCAAAACTTCCAGCGATCATAAACAACGAACGTAAGGTTCTAAACTCATGCGAGGCCTCCTGCATTTGACTGCGGTTACAGAAAACGCCTGTTGAGCCATGCTTTTGGCGTGTATCCTGCCCAATGGTACATGTACACACTCATTGCAATGGACAATGCAATATAAAATGCGACAATGTACCGTGTTATCATTAAATCGGGCATCACGTTGAAGATCAACCTCACTAAGGCCAGGAAAAAGACAACGAAGGCGACCAACCATATAACGCCGACCATACCTCTAGCTCGAATAGAGTGTTCTGTGAAACATTCCTCAGCCAATCAGATTGCTTAATTTGCCTAATTTAACGTAAACATGGACTTACTTAAAATGAATGACGTATACAATATTTACTTTTCGTCGTTGAAAGTTCTGTTTCCGAAAACACATGTTTTAAGCACTGCTTTTAGAACAAGGCATGTTTGTTCTTAATCCTGACCGATTTTAAAAAATTCACAGCTGATAAATCGAATCGCCCCCGCGTACAGTTTGACCCAACCAGCAATTCTTCGAGTGCATGCTTTGCATACGACTGTCTCATAGGAGGATGGCAATTCATTTACAAAATAATAAAAAATAACTTTTGAAAAGAATGAATAGTCTACTGTATTCTGTCAACACAAATCCATCGATCTCTCCCTCGTTGTTGTCATTTTCCAAATTATTCTCGTGGCACTGTGGAGGCCCCGACACTGCATGCGGAAATTGGTAAAATTGAAAAATACTTAGCCGCAATTCTCAATACTTAGACTTATTTCAAACTTGGTGAGAAAAAAGATTTATAGATACTAAACAAAATGTATATGTCTTGCACAAAAGATTTAAAAGCTTGTATACACGGCAAAAACGAATCATCTGAATTAATAACTTTGAGTATACCATTTCACAGCTGTCAGATGTGTATGATGGATGAGCTGTCAAAAGTTTGCATAATGCGATTGATAGCGATACAGCAGTGCACAAACTGAACCAGGGATCAGATTTTCGGGTTGAAACATCATAAACACCAATTTCTGCGGTGTTGGAAGCCCAAATCAAGCAAACTATAGCGCGGCTGTTGGATCCGCTTCTATACATTGAAAAGTTTGCTTCTTTTTGTCTTAAATGAGGTTGACAATAACTTAATCGGACTGAAAATAATCTTGGTAAATTCGAACCAGTGCCCAGCTCGGGCTGGAGTTATTCAGAAGAATGAGAGCTTTGTGGAAACCAGATGGTCGATCGTTTATCTAGTGGTTATATATCAGCAATCCAGTGCTATATATAATTATTGCTAGCAGTAAGGTAAGCTCTAAATGGCCCGATTTATACTTGAGACGAATAATCCGTATGGACGAACTTGGGCAAGTGAAAGATAGTTCGTCTTCTAATTCGTATGTATGTAAACATGCACACCACGAGTTATCCACATAGTTGAATGGGTAGCTCGCCTTGACGCAACATCCGTCTGTTAGTATGAAATACGGGTTTAGGACGAACTACGAAAACTACCATATTTGTCCACATAGCTATAGGTCGTCTGGAGAATGTATATCGCGTGTATATCCGTCTATAATATAAATCGAACCAATTTGGACACTCTCAATGTCAGACGTGCTAAATTGAAGAGTGTTCTATTGTACAAGGTCCTCAATAGGTTTTCGGCTTCGTGCCTGACTGATAATTTTGTAAGACTCCGAGATTTAGAGCGATACTATCATCTGCGAAATTGTGACACCGATTTTAATTACCAAATTAAACCAAAGACCAATTTTTTGAGAACGGAGTTTGAATTACAATGCGTCAATCCTGTGGAATAGTCTTCCGACAGAAGTCAAAAAAGCTACTTCAGTTAGCCACCTGAAGCGTTGTTTCGCAAGCCTTTCATGTAACTTGTAGTGTAAGATAATTAAGGTGCATGTCTAGTTCTTCATATTTATCTTTACTTTACTTTACTTTACTAATATTATGCTATTCTCAACTTTTGTATTATTCAACTCTTATTAAAGTTCAGTGGGACTAACGTGTGAAAATAAAGTGATCTATGTATATGTTTATGTCTGAAGTGTATCTGATGACTGCGAAAGATCCTATATATTCAATGTTAGCAGACCGTAAAAACAATCAATTTCAATTTGAATTTCAAAAGGTACTCATCATTGCTAAACATGAATTAAAATATGAATATCAGCACCACCCCCACATAACTGTCGTCGTTTCAACACTAGACAGTTTGCGATCTACGACGCGTTAGCTCGACGTCCCTATAAATATAATAGTCACTCATGATTATTTTGCCAGAAATAAGCTGCGGGAAATTAATTACGCTGCTAGGAGTTTGAAATTATTATACAAATGTTTTAATTGTAAATTTAAAAAAATTAAAATTAAAAAATTCGAAAAAAATTAACAAAAATATTGTGCTATATCGCAGTTTCATATAAGCTATCAAACAGCTATCACGCTCTCGCTACTTTCAGGTCATCGAGAGGCCCTGAAAATGCCTCATTTGAAGGCGTCGTAAGAATCACAACGCTGTTATTAAACCACGAGTTATGCATACCAGCTTCTTTGTTTTGCAACTGCGTCATCGAGCTGCATTGCTTCGCTATGAATTGTAAACTTCCTAGTAAGCAAATTAAGTTGATTCTCTTCGCCACCATTCGTCATTCGATTCCACCAGTGAATGTTAACAAACTCACTTTGGAATAGCTTCTTCTCTCAAATTCTTTATTCAAGAACCCGATTTTCGTTCGGGTCAGGTTTGTCAGATAATTGCATAAAAAAGGCAGACATCTTTAAGAGAAAACATGCAAGGATTATGCATGGTAATAATATTTGGCTAATTTATTTAGAAATCTGGCAGCCCTGGTTCGATTTTGTTGAACGAGGCTGCATGTTATAACGAGATTTATATGATATTTGTCAGTCAATTAAACAGACTAAGATAGTATTGATTATTAGAGTTGCAACAAAGTGAAATTTAAATGTTTGGAATACCATAATACAACAATACAATTCATTTAATCACGCTAGCCTAGACAACCAGATTGGGCTGATTTCCATGAGGAAGGGGAAAGTTTACAAAAGAAATGTGCATACAAAAAAACTATTTCAACAATTTTAATTTGCAAGTCAGTTGATAGCATGCCTGTTTCAACTTTTTTGTCTCAAAATTGTTTTAAAGGAGATTATAGACTCCGCAGTTTTTTCCTCCTGAGGAAGATTTATTTATTTTAATTTATTAATTTATTTCTTTTAAAGGAATGCACCAATGCCGGCACTAACCTTGGAACAAATAGATTCGATATGCTTACACCAGGACAATCTTTCTTCCAGGCTCACGCCGAGGCCTAAATATTTCGGCACTTGCATGTTTATTATCATGCAATTAAAATAGGATTACTACATACTTTATTCTTGAGATTTTGGGAAGATCCAATGAACATATGTTTGGTTTTATTGGGATGGATCTAAAGTTTGTTTTGTATCATCCATTTATGTATATTTTCAAGATCACTATTTACCTTCGTAACCAGATCACAGCAGCCATTAGAAGATGCAATATGGCAAGCAACTTTAAAAACGCAGGCGCCAGGCGAAAGCCAGTAATCGACCATAATTACGTATAAATATATAATTATATAGATGGGGTATTTTTAGAAATTTGAAATCACAACATGTTTATATTTTACCATGGGTACCATACAAACAATAAAATGAACCAGCAGGGGATTCTTGCTTTCGATATACGTGCACAATAGTCAATAAAATGAATAAGTACGTGTACAGCCTTCATTTTGCTGTGCAGTGTTTTACTTGAATCAAAGATTAAAAACAGCGATAAAAGAAATTAGAAAGGTAGGTCATTTTTCAAACTGCTTGTATCATAACCAATTAGTTAGAGGTCTGTAACCTCCTTTTTAAACGAAACCAGCACGAGTTTAATGCTCCAAATAGATAACTTAGTATATTATATTGCGTGTACGGTTCACTCGCATTAATTGTTATTGTGACATAAACAGAACAGAACGAAAACATTTATACTACTCTGAATTGCCTGTAATGTGTATAAAAGCTAATTGCTCGTTTACACTCGCAATCTTTTCGAAATTTTCCGTTTTTGATCGGTATAAACGAGTAAAAATGTCACGGAAATTTACAGGGGCGTGTGCATTTAAGAGCATCTTAAATTATACTCGCTAGATTGCGCTTTCAAAAGAGAAAAATCGGACCGAATATTGCATCAACAGGAATGAACGGAAATTGGTAAAAATTTTTGTCGATGACTAGAATCGACGACTAGAATCGATGACTAGAAATGCGAATAGAAGTACGTACGTCTTTTGAACAAGTTTGTTGATCAACTTCGATAAACTTCGAACTAAACAGAACCGGATTTGGCAGGAATGATAAATTTCGTACTCATAGTCGCAGTGGAAGTTATAATTTTAATTTTAATATTTATAATTATAATACTAAAATCTTTTTTAAAATTTGGCAACCAAATATATTTTGAGGTTTGATTTAAAAGCTTAGCACTTAACTAAATAACAATTAGCACTACCAGTAGGGAATCCGCGTCGGTTTTTTAAAACGATTATTACTGCGCCTTCTTTAGTAAAGGAATCAGGAAATTTGAATTGCCGAATGCTCATCAATTACAGTTAATAATTGTACTCTGATTCAGGGTTCGTTCTTTTGACTCAAACGGTCGAAATGTATAAATTTATTACGACTCTCTTTCTCAGTGAGAGCGTGCATGACGAGCTGCATGACGTAAAGTCTTCCTGCTTTATAAAACTCAATTGACGCAAGGGAAAAATTTAAAAGCAGAATAAGGTAGCTACCATATTATCTATATAATAATATATTAGCTATATCATCAAAGTAATTACTTTAAAGTTTGTTCAAAAATCGTTGAAATATTTCATTTATTCCCAAGCAAAATGAATATTTGCAAATCAAAATGTACAAATGAATTAGCATTGACATTGTTCACCTCTGTGGGGGGAGGATGCCGATTATAATAAATGATGCGTGTAGTCTGCAATGGATACGGCTAATAACAAATAAACATGTTTGTTTTTCTGAGAATTGAATTCTGAGTTCCAGATAATAGTCGAGCGACAAGCGGGTAAGGCTGAGTTACCGAGGTAGGCCCGTTGAGCGCCATGGAAGATATGCAATTACCAGTTTGCTTACGGGAAAAATTCCGTCGACGAAAAAAAAAGTCATAAATATTTCACTTTCGAGCTATCTTTAAAACCAGGAATGGGGAACCAGGAACAGGGAACCGGGAATGAGAATATCCGGAATCTTTAAAACCCGTAATCAGAATCTCCGGAATCTTTAAAACCCGGAATCAGAATCTCTGCAATCTTTAAAACCCGGAATCAGAATCTCCGGAATCTTTGAAACCCGGAATCAGAATCTCTGAAATCTTTAAAACCCGGAATGAGAATGTCCGGAATCTTTAAAACCCGGAATGAGAAACTCCGGAATCTTTAAAACCCGGAATGTGAATATCCGGAATCTTTAAAACCCGGAACAAGAATCTCCGGAATCTTTAAAACCTGGAATGAGAATATCCGGACTCTTTAAAACTCGGAACGAGAATCTCCGGAATCTTTAAAACCCGGAATGAGAAACATGTAAACAGAAAGAGTGATATTTTACTGATAAAATAATATCTCATTCTATAAATATATTAAGCAAGTTGTGTCATTCGATATCAACTTTTATGCGTAAAAAACAGTCAATTTATGATATTGTTGTGTTGGTTTTACACCCGCATTGGAATACAAGACAATTAAGTGGCAGAGGTCATTCAATACGATCGAATTATAAAATGAATACATGTCCACAGCCATGAAAAACGTTACAAACTGAACCATCTTTTTGTGTAGTCAGGGGCATCATATCTTCTGTGATTAAAGCTGATAAAAAGTAAGTTTTATAAAACGAAACCTAGTATTACTACTATTATTGAGAGTAGTTTGGAGAAGCTAGCACTCAGTTCTAGCTCTAGTATAAACTGAAAAACACTGAAACCCTTCCTCCCCTGCACTACCATTTTAATGCCTAATGGCATTACCCTAACAATTCTTTAGAAGAAAGAAATCAAAGGCCTACGTATAACAATGTTAATTTAGCTTGTTTATCCAGCACTTACCATGGCCTTTTGTTAAAAAAACAGCACTTGGTTTGTCACTAGCTATTTGTTTTCCGAACATGTTGACAAGTCTTCACTTTGTTGTATATATGACATTTCAACTGTCAACAATACAACAAACTCTAAGGTTGTTGAACTGTCGCATTAATTTAATATGGGTGTAAAGGGATTCAAATTTGGGCGAGGAATTCATGGACAAACATTGTTATAGGCTGGCTTTTGGTTTCTTTCTTCTAATTAGGCAAGGTAATGAACTTATGGTGATAATTTCATTTGTTCCAAACCTGCTCAAATCTAGTTAAATTAAGTTCCCCTCCTGTTTTAAGTGTGGTATGATTAAAATCAGATGGGGCTGGCTTTAGTAAGTGCTTATAAGGGCAAGTGGCATTACGGATCCAACTAGAAAACGAGCATTGTTACTTCACCACGCCGGACCTCAAATGCGAGAGATTTTCAAATCATTCACATACGCCATTCACAACGACATAACATATTAGAGAAAAAGTGAAAAACGCGCTAACCGAGCTTAAAAAACAAGATATAAATGAGAAAGTTCCGAAAAACAAAGCAACACTATGGGTTTCTCCCATTGTGGCAGTTCCCAAAAAAGACGGGCAGGCTAGAATAGGTGTTGATATGAGACTCGCAAACGAGGCTATAAGACGAGTACGTCATCCGATACCAACAGTTAATGACGTGAGTTTCGCCCTAAACGGAGCTAAATTCTTTCGATACACATTCAGCACGCACGTAGGATTATATCGATACAAGAGACTCGACTACTACGGTAGAAACCCTGCCGCGGAAATATTCCAATTGCACTCTCCAAACTGCACTTCAAGGACTTGAAGGCGTAAAAAACATAACGGACAATATCATTGTCTTTGGGTCGACAAGGGCCGAGCACGACGCCAATCATGATAGATGTCTGCAACGCCTTGCGAAAAAAAGGTTTGGGACTAATCCAAAGCAAGTGCGATTTCTTAAGAAACACATTGTCATTCTTCGGACAAATTTTCTCGGAGGAAGGAACGAGCCCTGATCCTAAGAGAGTTGGTGATTTACTAAACGCACCTCAGCCAACTAATGCGCATGAAACCAGAAGCCTTCTTCGTATGCCTACCTATTCTAGTAAATACATTAGAGATTTTGCAACCCTGACCGCTCCACTGCGTGAACTGTCAAGAAAAGACGCTGGATTTGAGTGGACGCAAAACACTAAACAGCATTTAAAAAGCTAAAGAACACACTCACCACTGCGCCATGTATGGCATACATCGACAAAACGATGGAGACATTTATGGTCGTTAATGCAATCCCAGTTGGAGTTTCGGCGATTTTGTCCAAAAAAACCCAAAACGGTGACAGTAACAACCAGCAGATCATTGCGTACGCCAGGCAAGCTTTTGTTACACAAGGCTTTATTGTGTTTATACATATAAAAATAGCAGTAATAATAGGAATATCAACTGCATGACCGGGATTAGTTACATGATTCAGTTTTGCAACCAGACGTAACAAGACGAGTAAATAAAATTTTGGCCCATTCGCCATCATTAATCGCTTTTCCCTTTCATGTATGACATATCGTGGGATTAAATAAGTAATAAGGTGAAAGTATTTACAGTCTTAATTGTCACTTATCTCAATTCTCGCATTTTTTAAACAAAACGTGCGTGCTGTAGGCAATTCAAGTTCTTATGTCAATCAATTGTGTTAAAAATGTTGCACGGTCATGCATGTAACAGATTACGTCAACAAAAGTCAATTCGATAAAATAAGAGTGAAAATAGTTTAAGTTGAAAGATATTGTTCACAGAGGTATTATTTGTAAATTTTACTACTTGTTGATAGTAAATATTTTAAGTTGTGAGCATTTTTGAGTATTAATCGATTGAGCAGAAGACCAACTCGGCTAGTACGACAACGCCTTTAACAAACAAGATATAAGAGTTGAAGCGAGCTTCTAAGACCAACCAACATTTCTAACTTACAACGCTGATTGGTTGGATAAAGATCAGCTCACTCTGGTTGATGACGTGTGCAAGTCTCTCTCAACCGTTCCCTCAACTATAAAAGGGCGTGCACAACACCCGAACCTTCAGTGGACTAGCGGAGTAAAAACCATATGAAACGTTAGAGAAGCCCAACATTACTGAACCAACGACGAAAGAAAGGGCAGAAAACAACGAGAATCCGAAAGGACAGAAAGCAACGAAGATTCGAGAGCAAGAGAAGACCAAGAAAAGAAAATTAAGAACATTAGTTAACCTATTGTAAAGATTTACAACCTCGCGTAAATAGAAGATAAAATCTTTCAACACGTTGACCGATACTGAGAAAAGACATTCTCAAATAGAAAAAGAGGCGTTAGCGATATTTTGGGCAGTTGAACAATTCCATCTATTTTTATTTGGCAGTGAATTTACATTAGTAAACAGACCATACAAGTTTAGAAATTATACAGTATATATATGGACAGCGGACAGCTAAAACATCGGCACGTATCGAAAGATGGGTTCTTCGTCTCCAATCATGCGTTCAAGATATTACATAAATCAGGTGCAAATAATCCAGCGGATTATCTTTCTCGTCATCCAACTAACGAAAGTAGCGAAAACGGGAGAAGATGACAGAACCATATATCAATTTCGTTACTCAGAACAGCATTCCTAAGGCAATGACCTTAAAGGAAATACTTGATGCAACTAATGCTGACGAGGCATTATTAGAATTGTTTGACGTAATCAAAACAAACAAGTGGGATTTTTCCGTAGTGAAACGATTCAAAACAGTGAAGAATAAGTTGATAACCGCCACACAAGACATAATAGGGAGCTTTAGCAGTGACTACGAGTACGACTACGAGTACGAGATTCGTCATTCTCGCGCGTTGTTTGCTAACGCCATCAGCCAAAACTCGTAGTCGTTGGGCTTTCGAGTACGAAGTTTATCAAAAAACTCGTACTCAAATGCCCGGCGACTACGAGTTTTGACTGATGGCGTAAGCAAACAACGCGCGAGAATGACGAATCTCGTACTCGTAGTCGTACTCGTAGTCACTGCTAAAGCTCGCTAATATTGAGAGGAACGCGAATTGTTGTCTCTGCTACTTTGCAACATCGGGCAATAGACATTGCACACGAGACGCACTTAGGCATTGAAGAGACGAAATCACTAATTCGCGAGAAAATATGGTTTTCCCAAATTGATAATCGAGTAATGGACACAATTATTCAGTGCGTAGCATGCCAGGCTGCAGGTAGAACAAAACACCCGGAACCTCTACGCATGACAGAAATGTCAGAATTACCAGGGAGTGTCGTACACGTAAACTTTTCTAGACCTATACCTACGTCGGAATATCTCTTAGTCGCAGTGAATAGATACTCAAGATTCCCGGAAGTGGAGATTGTTCATTCAATACGAGCTTCAACTGTAATTCCGAAACTGGACAAGATTTTCTCTGTCCATATATGGAATACCAGTACATCATTATCTGACAATGGACATCCCTTCAATGGAAACAAATATGCACAATATATGAAAACCATTGGCATTCAAACTAAGTTCTCAATTCCTTATTGGCCTCTAGAAAACACCACGGTAAAAAGATTCATGCAATCGTTGGGAAAGGCATTAAAGACAGCAAAGCTAGAAGGACGACCATGGAAACAAGAATTATATCGTTTTCTCCTTCAATATCGAAAAACCAGCTTTGTACCACAGGTGTACCACCATCAGAAGTATTATTTAATCGAATTGTAAAAGGAAAGATCCCAGTGATAACGCGGAAGAAAATCATTAATAGACACAAAAAAGCTCGAGACAACGAAAGAACAAAGAAGAAAAGAAATAAAGAAGTCGCAAGTCGTCCATTAATTACAATTATGTATTAAAGCATTACTAGAGACCAACATTGCAAAGGAGAACGAGGCGGGGGTTGTTATCACCTCATGAGAAATAGTGCTAGTCTTCACATGCAGTCCAATCAACTTCTGGCCAAGATTTTTAAAGCTTAATTTGGGGGGGGAGGGCATATTCATACATTCGTCTTATGCCGGACTTATTCCTTTTGCACGTTATTGTTCCTATCATATGTTAACAAAAATATATGAATATAAACCTCCCCAATAGACCTTAAAGGTGCTTACGTCATAAGACTGTCAAACAATAAATTGCAATGCAATGTGGAAAACATGTAGGAAAAATTAACCTCATTTTTCATGGATTGAAACTTGTGTGAAGTAGTACCTCTTTGTGTCTATTAAGTGGTCTAGTTACGGTACGACTATTTACGAGTAATATTTTTACCTTAATATTTCGCAAAACATATTGCAGAAGACAGTATTGTGCCAGCAAACAATTGCCATTTAATGCCAGAGAGTGCATGTTGACAAATATAAATATATCCCCTGTTTTTTTAGATATGCGCGGTGTTGGGGTTTTCACCCTACTCGTCGTCACTATTTGGCAATTGTCTCCAGTAGAAGGTAACGTACAATTAATAGTTATACACATTAGTTGATGTAGGTAACTATATCGGCAAACTGCACAAGTCTATTGCACGTCACTGCACACAGTGAACACAAAAACGTTTATAATATAGTGTAAACCGGGCTTCAAATTTCCAAAGATGAATGAAAAAATACAAACCTTCACGCTTCATTGGAAAAAAATATTGCAGAGAGAAATGTCACGACGTAATTTGAATATTCGCGACCAAATATCCGGCTAAGTTCTGAGCTAGAAAGAGTCTGACATGTATGCGAAAAATACTCATACTAACAACTTATAGGCGAATATATTATTCCCAATTTATGTTTTTAATGAATGCAATGCAACGTTAAGAATTTAGAATTGCAAAACCAAATCATGACGCATGGCGTTCAGTAGACTCGCCACATTATAAGCCAGGAAGAATCAAACTGTATAATAAAACATTCACTTCGGCAGATAACTTTGACCTCGGTTTTAATAATTGTTGACATCATGCTCAGCCTCATCAAATAATTGCTGCCAGTGAAATTACAATGCAATATCGCTGCAAAATCTAGATACAACGCTGCCTGATTTGATTAAGCCTTTGAATAACCAAAGCAATAAAAGCGCACTTCTATTTCATGCAAAACAAATCTTTAAACCTTGGACGTGTAATAAAGCATTTTTACTGTAGTTATTATAATCGGCAAAGTTTGCCTACAGGTTAAAAGATGCTTTGCCTATATAAAAAATAGACCTTTTTCATAATGACGTCCAACGCGGAAAGTGTGATGCTACACGAAGTTTGATTTGCTCGATAGTTTTGTGGAGCCAATCAAATTTCGTGTAACATCAGACTCTCCGCGTTTGACGTCATTATAAGAAAAGTCTATTGCTTTTCTGTTTAAGAAATCTTAATTACACGTTACCGAGACGGATATATTCTTCCGTTTACCAAGTTATACGTCGCATTTTGGTGGCGTCAAATGTAATTCAAACGCTAGATAATGAGATGATAAACCTTTACTTTTCCAGTTTGTCCCAATTTTTTTCATATCATGCGTAAAATTAACTTTTCATAGGAAGCAATGGAACGGAAATTGAATACATCTTCTATTCAAACGCCACTCACATTTCCTATGTTTCTATTGATGGTGGAGAATCTAAAGCCTTGGTGAAGACACCAAGCGCGACCCTTTCTTACGACGAACTGAACTACCGTCTTTGGTATTATAAGGACGGTGAGAAACTGTACAACTCAAATTTGGATGGGAGTGATTTGAAAAATGTTTCGGTTCCATCAAATTTCGGTCCCTTTGCTGTTGATGCAGCGAATCAACGTGTCTATTATCTCACGAAGACTGATTTTAACCTTAAATTGATTGACTATGATGGGAACGACTTACCAGATATTGGTGTATCACCAGACGATGATTTCAGGGATTTGCAAATCGACACCCATAACAGGTAAATTAAATTTCAATTTCAATTTGATATAACTATTTATTCAGCGCAATTGTTAAAGTAATAGCTACTTGAGTAATGGTTGAAAATTGAACCTTTAAAATAAGAAAACATTGATCTAATGTGTTGACGTTCTCAATATAAAATCTCTTAAACAGTCAGGACGTTTATTTATTTATTTATTTATTTATTTTGAATGCTTTGTAAGATACACACAAACTTATACAGTACAATAATAAGCACAAATGATAGACAATTACATGTCAGGGTATACGCTACAGCTTACGTCAATTACAGCGGCCCTTGACAATAATACAACACAGAAGACAAAACGAAGACACATTTACAGGAGATTATTCAGATTAAGCAAGATGAAGTCAAACTAGACAGGTTAAAAGACACGTTACAAGACAAACATATAGGATCTTCGGCATTATGAATATCCAATGCCAATTTGCAATATGTATATATATAAAGTTCGTTCTTGAAACTATAAAATGTCAGGTCCTTTGGTAGTGTATTCCATACTCTCGCACTCTGGATAAGAACGATTTCTGAAATGTCGCAGTCTTGCACTTTTTGGTGACCAACAATAAACAGTTGGCGTCAATTGATCTTGTTGTTCTTTCTTGGTTTTGAGTTTGTGGTAGAATGTTGTTTTCAATGTTTACCATCCCATGCATGTATGCATTTAAAGAAGAAGTCGACGAGATCGAGAAACTCGTGCCAATAGCAGAGTGTTAGGAGATCCAACATATCTAGTCTCTGTGTATAGGTGATTTCGCACATAATTAAACGGAAGATCTAGAATGAATTTGCTCGCGCGTCGTTGAATTAATTTGTTCCAAACGTTTGATGTTTTCGACAGATTGTGGAGTCCAGACTTGCTTGAGAAGCGTAGCATAGTTTCGAGCGAACAAAAGCCAAATATTGGGTGCGACGAACTGACATGCTGAATATGTTAGGCTGGGAATATTTTGATAAGAGACGCAATTATTCTAAATCTACTTACATGTATAAAATAGTTAAAACAGTTATTTCCATAATTTTTAATAAAGGTGATTCCCCTTATGATCTTAGGAATCATGAACCTGACTTAATTAATACTACCACTACCAAAGAAGGAATTTCTTAAAAGAAGTTTCCAATAATGGAGCTATCCATAGAAATAATTTGCCTATTGATACAAAAAACGCTGATTCGGTTCATTTCTTTAAGAGAATTATAAAATCTACGGCAAGATGAAGCTGATTTTATTCGTTGATGATATTTACCAATAATTGTTTTTTGTATATATCCTCCCCGCTTGTAAGTTTTTGCATTTTTATGTAACCATTATCTATCTTTTAACACGCCCCTTATGAAAAACAACTATGTTGATGAGACTAGTGTGTCTTATATAATTATGTGTGTATGTATGTATGTATGTAGCAATTTTAGAGCTGCGTAACAATGATCACATAACACGACCATAAATGCATCAATATCAAACAATTTGATGTCAAAGTTTTTTCAACCTAGATCAATATTTTTCACCACTGATCTTACGAACAGTCGAAATCTCATCCGGTACAGTCTTGCTGATGGAACTCATCAAACTCTTCACTCTGGTGTTCCTGGAATAGGCACTCACCTTGCGCTTGATATCATGAATAAAACCGTATACTGGATTCTATTTACTGCTGAGACAAATTACAAAATTTTAAAAACAACGTACGATGGTCAGACTTCACAGATTGGAACAGATCAATCAGGGAGTATTACAACCGTGGACATTGCAGATGGGAATGGATACTATTATATCCTCGATACAACAGAATCACGAATTGATAAATATAATAAATCGTCAGATAAAGTGGCTACTACGATTTCACTTTCAACTGAAGCCACAAGAATGATTGTTGTATCTGGTTAGTTCCCGCAGAAATTCACTTTATATTCTTTTGAGTTAATTCTTTTTCAACTAATTTTGATAGAATGATAGTATATGATTTTTGCACGCTTTTGCAAGTCTTTTAAAAACGGGTTTCGCTTACCTCTATCTCTCGTTGTTTCGAAAATTAGAAGCTATTTACTCGATCCAATGTAAAATTCTATAACTTTTCATATATGTGCATATATATACGTGTTTGAAAATGGCGGTTGCGTGACGACCACGTATATCTAGAGAAATAAAATTATAATATTTCAGGTAACTTCCAAATTTTCGGCAAATTGCGTTTCCAAAACGAAGCCTGAAATGATTTTTAGGCTCTAAAATAAGTATGCAATTGCAGGGAATGTTTCATGCGCTTCATGGTTTCATAAACGGACTTATTTTAATAACCTCAAAATTATCTTTCGTTTCGCTCAATCTCGGGTGACTGAGCCCATGTAAACAGTACCTGAGTTGTTTTTTCCCTTTAGATAAGGACCACTGTGCTTTGAATAATATGTGTCCTGCAAACTCGACATGTACGAACTCCCCTGGCACCATTGTATGCTCATGTGACACTGGATTCACTGGAAATCAAACATATTGCCAAGGTATACGGAAAGTGGAAGTTGGAATGCACCAGACAATACCGATTATAACGGAAATTCTATCTAGCCTATTTTTAGAAGAATTCTGTATATGAGTGACCATTAGACGACAAGTCTTAATTTTTTGAAATTTCCAAAATTGCATCCAAGATTAGAACTGCATGATCACTATGGCTTATCTTACTCTGATTTCGAATAATTTATAATAGGGGTATTATTGAAATATCTACAGGTATAAACACACAAATGTAGTTGTTGTTTTCGGTAACAAAAATGAGTCAGTTGCACCCTCGCGCATGATTGTTAACACATTACAATAATCGCCTAAAGTTTTACTAGTTTTTGCAACTTGTTGACGCTCAAGTCCATGAGCAGCACAACATTTTCCGCCGTGTTTTAATTAATCAGGAACAAATTGTTGTTTTTAGAGTTGACCGGAAGTAATTTCGTTATTTCTTATAAATTAATCATCGCATTTTTGTCTAAACTTCTTAGATATCGACGAGTGTTTAAATAGTCCATGTGGATACAATACAAACTGCACAAACACCTTTGGTTCTTACATTTGTAAATGTCAAGCAGGATATGAGGGAAATGGAACAAATTGTACAGGTACAGCACCTTTTTCTGTGGAGATTCATTAAACATAATACTCAGCCGCACCTTTACGATTTTTAAGATTATGTGACACTTCACTCCATGTAGAAAAAAGATCATTAAGGGTCTTAACTTCAATGAACAACAGTTCAGCAACCTCTGTGGCTCAGAGGCAAGAGAATGGAATCAGCATTGCAACATTGAGACTCATCTTCGTTAAAGCAATGTAGCGTGATTAATGGATCGACTTGCGATCTTGGTAACAAGAAATAAATAAATCACCACAGCTGGAAAGAGCATACCAAAATTTGTATACAAAAAAGTAGTATGCAAAATTGCCAACCTCGCATGGCTATATTTTCGGTACAAAATCTATTTTGCAGTCAAAATCTAACGGACTTGCTTGACAGTTTTATGACATCAATTTCTGTATAACAGGTTATATATATTTTATGGCTTTTCTAAATCCTCTATTCTGATTGCTTGACGAGCAGCCCGTAAAAACCCATATCCGTACCGTGGTGCGTATATTCCCTATTTGGACCAGTATCCCGGATGTCTCATGCAGTTCAGCCATATAATAAACAGATTATTGACCTCGCTTGTTCGATCTGCACTATGGAATATCAGACCGAGGCTAATCACACCTCACGGTCGTTCAATAATCAGTTAATATCCAGATAAATTCGTATAATTCCAGGACTGGATTATCTGACATCGTTTTAATGGAGTGTATGCTGAAAATAGATTTAGTAGAGTAATATTTAAAGTAAGCGATTGTTAATTTCGTCCTTTTTTCCTATTTTAATTTAAGATATTGATGAATGTTTGTCTAACCCATGTGGTTTCAACGCAAACTGTACAAACACTGGTGGTTCGTACCTTTGTGAATGTATATCCGGGTATGAAGGAAATGGAACAACAAATTGTACAGGTAAGATCTGGTTATCAATTAATATTTTCCATTTATAAGCATTTTCAGGAATGCGATTAATTGCCACTTTTTTTCTTTAAAAAGTTTATGCGCAAGTTGTCTTCTTCTTTAACAGTTATTCAGATGATTCCTGAACACCCATATTTCTAAACCAAGCCGAAAATCTTAAAAAACAACTGAAAAATGGTATTCTTATTGCACTGAGTCGTATGAAAACAGAAAGTATTTTGCAATTATTTTCGCATTAGATCAAACCCTTACATGGAAATCGTGACCACCTGCTAAGTGGCATTCGCGATCACAAATTTTTATTATGTTCGATATATATTTTATCAGCCTTCCAAAACTAGCCTGCACGCGCGCTGACACGTCTAACGGGTTAAGGCGATTCTCCATTAGCACCCGCTTCATCCGCGCGGGCGAAGCGGCTTTTGAAAGTCTGCCCATGCAACCGTGACGAGCCTTGAAAACAAAGCGTACGTAAGAAAGCGCTCGCGGGTGTAGAGGACGTAATGGAGAATCGGATTTATACGTTTCCATATTAGTGCAACATTTCATTACGTCCTGGGCCATCAATTGTTTATTTTATGTCGGATAGTTAGCACAGATTGGCTAATAATTGCGATTTTGTAAATCCGATTCCGATTACATTCGACGCCAGCCAATGAGAACGCACTGCCCAAGTGCACTGCGCACGTTTATATGCGCCCAGGTTATCTTAAAGCAACTTGTATTTTTACAGATATTAATGAATGTCTGGCAAACCCTTGCGATGTTAATGCAAATTGCACCAATAACGATGGTTCGTATGACTGCACTTGTCATGTGGGATACGAAGGCAATGGCACAAGTTGTTCAGGTAAATCATTTTAAAACTTGATAAAAAATCAATGCTGGCAAATGTTATAGAGAACAGGCAATGCTTGGAAAAAAGTGGTTGTTTTTACCTTCCTACCTTTTGATGTGTTTTTAAATAATCTCTCGAGCTTCTCTCTCCTGTCAGCAAATTCCTCGTACCGTTTTAAAAATTTAGCGTTGTCATGTATACGCATCTTAAATTATCACTGAACAAAACTTAAAGTGGCAACAGAAATATTTTAGGAATTATAATTTTTTTTTAATAATTTAATAAATATAATTTCAATATTATTAGTCTTTTGTTACAGAAGTGCCGGAACAAAAGAGTTAAGTAGCTACAATAAAGGGATCAAATGACTGTGTCCTGAAGCAGGACGTTCCGTTGATTATTTTAATATGTGTTTGTATGAATAGGGGTAAAAAATTATGCATTATTTGCCGTATTAATACAGTTAAGTGTTATTTTTAGTAAAATACGCCTATGATGCATAGCTATATAAGCCTCAAAAGTTGACAAATTTATCTTAATGCATCCCCACGCATGTATATTATGTGCTTAACAAAAATCATTCGTGGCCATTGGCGTAATCCGATCCAGTTGCTCTCGTGCACGGGCGACTCTTCGGGTGACTTTGGTCATTTGCGCCACTTACGACAATTATCTACTGATGTTTGATAATTCCTGCCTCGCGTGCCGAAATCTTTCCGTGTGCGTCTAAATGAAAGCTATCTGCTCACGGATTGTCTTAACAGCGAATGCGTAGTATAGGCGCACGAGGGCATGTGGCTTACGCCAATGACCACGACTGTCTTTTTGCCAAGCGCATTGCTCTAGAGTGCGCCGGCCTTTATACGTACATTTCCCCCTCGGGTAGGGTCGCAGCTCCTCGCAAGAATGATTTTCATTTGCTGAACTTTACAATACATATCTGTTTCAACCAATAGCATAGCTTCGTTCTTTAGAAAGCATAGAAAAGCATTATCCAATTGGACGAAAGCTTCCGAGCACTGCGACATGTCCCGGGGTACATTCAGTAATTATTCAGCCACCATTTTAGTCATAAACCAGCCGAAAAGTAAAGTAAAAAACAAATTCCGAATAAACAGGATATCTTGTGAGTCAAAATATGAATCAAACAAGACACAGGTTGAGATTGTAAATTTTCGACTTTATTTCAAACTATTTTCAGACAGGATGAAATACAATACTTTACAACGCATATATAACTCGATAATTTACTCTGTAGTATGTATATTTAAAACACGAAAGGAACGTTTTATCATATTTATACGCCACATTGTTGTGGAGCAATAAATTTGCTCCATGTGTTGTATACAAATGCTTATTAGGACGAAACATTGTATAAAGCATACTAATGAGCGTGGCAAATCTTATGGTTCATGCAAAATCATAGGCTTAAATGCTTATGCATTATTAATGAGTTATATTCTAAGTTATACATTATTATTATTATACATTCTATATTATTTGTAATTATCTTCCCTCATAGAGCAATTAACACGTGGTTTTTAATTAGTTAATTATTGGATGAGGTTTTTGTGCAGTATGCAAAGTTATCAAGGTCTCGGTAAGTTATCAAGATCTTCGCCTTCGGCTCGGCTGATAACGCTTACCTCGACCATGATAACTCTGCATATTGCACAAAAACCTCATCCAATAATCTTTTAAAAGCAAATCAGGATACTATTACTAAAGACGCCGTTTCGGAATAAGAACAGTCCAATAATTTGTTGAAGTTGTAAGCGAAGAGATCCACGCTCGAACTATATACAAACAGTGAAACATGATGAAAAGCGAATAGAAGTAGAATAGAAAAAGAGACATTGGGAGGAGAGGATGATAGAGGCAAAACAATTCAAAACGGTTTCATTATCGCAAAAGTCACTTTTAATGTGAAAAGTAGCGTTAAGTTAATAAGTAACCGCTGAAATGTCTGCATTTGCTACACCTTGTGTTACATTGTTTCTCAGATGTCAATGAATGTGAAATGGATCCATGTGGTTTTAATTCCAACTGCACAAACACTAATGGCTCGTTTATTTGTGAATGCCAAACTGGATTTGAAGGAAGTGGAGTAAATTGTACCGGTAAGACTTTATTCACTAGATATATTAAGGTTTTGATGTAAGGTTTTATTGCCATGTTTTTACCACTTTCCGTTTTAAAGTAAGGCAAAACAATGCACTTCTTGACGTTTAAAGACAGCAGCATATTTGCTACTTGATGGAGAGCTATATTTACATATATGCAGGATAGGCAAAAAATTATATCGTTTCAGTGAATATATACAATGTGTAATTACAAGATATCGCAAAAACTGCATGATTTAAAGAATTTATTTTTTTTCAGACATAGATGAATGTCAGTCATCCCCTTGTGGTTACAATGCAAATTGCACCAACATTGTTGGTTCTTATGAGTGTGAGTGCAAGACTGGATATACAGGAAATGGAACAAACTGTACAGGTATATAATTATAAGCTAGGTGCATCGCCTTTTGTACAATTATGTAGTCAACATTTCATGCACAATGTGGAAAGAACTTCCCTGTGCGATCATATTGTGTTGACAGAGATATATTTATATGATTAAATATTAAAAAAATGTTTCTTGAACTAAAATCATTCAGTATCTCCCTATAGATATCAATGAATGTCAAACAAATCCTTGTGATGGAAATGCAAATTGTACTAATAACGATGGCTCATATCTGTGTACCTGCCACAAAGGCTATTCTGGAAACGGCGCTAGCTGTACAGGTAAACCTTGGGATATACGAGAGCGTATCAGTACAATATACTTTAAGATTTTAGCAAAACTTGGTTGTTTCATTAAAAATCCGGAATTGCATTGTCCGAAGTGTTATGAAGAGTGTGCTATGCATACACCATGCTAGCATTCCTATAACACTTTCTTGGTGTAAAAAGAAAAATTCTCTACCTGAACAAACTTAGTGTATATTTACATTAAAACGGTGTAACGTTACAAATTCTTTCATATTATACTTTACGATAACGTTAATATACACCTATTTAGTGATATCCTTTACAAAAATTTCACATAACATTTCACAATTCACATATGAAATAGGAGTTGAAATTTTTTGATTATGAGTGCGTGCGCTACTTCATGTAATGCAAATTATAACGGATCAAAATGCTAATTTTGGATTAATGCCATGAAAAAACAAACACATATTCGGGTACTATGGGATCCTCAGTCCGTTGCTACCCGGTGAGTGCTCGATCGGTAAAATCGGTATTGCTCCAAAACGGTCTGTGGCTCTGTGCTTCGGAAGAACATCTCATATTACAACACGTCTCAAACAGTCAAACTTTCTGCTGGCTGTATCAAAAATTTAATATACATCCGTCATGGAATAGTCGAAATATGGTTATAAATCTGTGGATTAAAAAGCATTCTGTGCTGACGATGTGTTCATGTGGTCTAGTAAAGAATGGTTTTAACTAAAGAAGTTAGTCAGGTATTTAATTAATATTGTTTGTGCTAACTTTATATATATTCGCTTTTATAACTCGTCGCTCAACTAATCACAGATGAATCACGGCAATTTGTTCAATTTATATTGATTACTCATATAGTCTTCTTTCTTTTTCATATAACAGTAATATGAAAATAGGAGGGATCCGAATTTATATTGTTCAATTTTCCTTTAATATGTTATTTTTTACACATGAAAGTATTGATGGGAAAGCCATGGCTTGACAGTCTTGTCTGAGTCTGACTCAGACTGACTTCAAATCATTACATACAGTCATCAATTTCCAGGACCAGGATTAACCCATTAACAATCAGTGGAATAAGATTTTAAAAATTTTGTGGTTTTCAATTAGCTGAAAATTAAGATTTGTTCGATGTGAACTGACCAGAGTACTGTTATTGCAGCAAAATGGTGTTGAGAAGAAAAGTAATGCAATTATTTTTTTCTGCTATTAGTTGATACCTACACCACCTGCTTTGGTTGAGATGGACAGAGCTAAAAATGAATAAAAATAGACAAATATATGGTTGGCATCCATTGATTTAGAAACACACCAGGAATTGTCTGACAAGGAAAATAAAGACAAACAACTTAATCACTGCTGTGAAGTATGCACCACATTCAACACAACAGTCAACATGATAATTAAGATATTCAAAAAACCACTATACAGGGTGTCTCAAAAAAAAAAAAAAACTATTGAAATCACCCATAACAATGTAATTGTTAGAGTTTGAATGCCTAAGCACTCTATTGGAACCCACAAGTGTGTAAATGTTTGCCATAAGCATTTTTATGCATGATGTAGTAAAATTTGTTTGTAAGCCTTTGTCGACCTTTGTTGAAAAGCGTTTCGCACTTCCGTTGTACTTTGGGTACGCGTATAATTTATCACAATAAACACCGTTGTTCCGCGGTTAGCTGTACCATTTTCTTTCGAAGCAATAACAAGGCTAACTTAAATTCACAATTTCAAATTTTTCGTATTTAGCATTTTATAGCATTAAATCCCCACCTGCTAAAATTTGTGAACATGGCATTCAAATTTTAACAATGAGTGATTTCAAAATTTTTCGTTTTTTTTGAGACACCCTGTATATGACTCATTTCTATCGTTAAATTCAAATATTGTTTAAAACCCTTTCTAAACATTTATTAAATGGATTAATGCACTAAATCTATCAATTGGAGTTTAAACTTTATACATTGTGACAAAATAGACAAAATCAACCCAACATGTGCGAAAAAAACCTGATTTTGTACCCACATTTTTATGGCTAAAAATGCGAAATGATAAAATGATAAAATTAGTGACAAAAATGTTGGTACAAAATCTCTTTTTGGGCATATGTTAGGTTGATTTCGTCTGTTTCGTTTCAAGGTATAAAGTTTCAACTCCATATGATCGATTTAGTCCATTAATTCTTTTAATAATTGGAATGGCTTTTTAACAATATTTGAATTTTGAATGTTTGAATGATGGAAATGAGTCATATGGTGATTTTGAATATGGTGTTGATTATCCTGTCGAATGTTGTGTCGAATGTGGTGCATACTTCACATTGGTAAGTTGATCTGGCCGGCTAAAGTTCAAATAATAAAAGGTATGTAAATACACTTTATAATATAGTTAATATGTTTGACCTCAGGACTGTAAATTTAAGAGCAACTAGCATGATTTTTCCTTAGCCATAGAAGCTTAGTATACTAAAGTCGTGATAAAGCTGGTAAAGTTTTGTGTAGCTACATAGCAAAATAGTCTTGTATGATGAAATTAGTTTATAATATTAAAGTGAGAAAACATGAGTGCATTTGAATAAACTGATATTATATTTACTTTTTATTAGAATGTGTGAGGCAAAGCAGTGAAGATAGTGAAAAGGAATGCTATGTGCAAACAGATAAAGAATGAAATCATGAAAAATGGCATGCAAAGAAAAAGAAAAATGAATTGATAAGTGTTGTTCTTGAAATGTTAGCTAAATTGTTTTTTTAATTTTATAGGTTAATACGCCTATGTATTTAGAATGGTTATCTTTTGTGTTTAGATTTTTTATATATAAAGCCTCTTATGTTTTAATCCAATAAATTTTCAATCCATATATTGAAATTCACTCATGCAGTCATTTTATTATCTTGTAACGATTTCATATGTGAATCATTTCTTATTTGAAATCATTTCATATATGAAATATTCTTGGATAAAACTCATATAAATTATGTGGAATGATTTCACCTGTGAAATTTTCACACATAAAGTGTTTCAATTCCACATAAGGTTTCATATATGAAATATTTCATAGATGAAATCTTTATGTGAAATTTTCGTAAGGGTAGATATGCTTACACTCAAACAGTGAAAATCTACACATAAGTTGTTTTATTATATGGATGGCGGTATTTTACTGAGAACTAAAACACTCGTAGAACTCATATGTCACTACATCCGGGCCCAGGTGTGCGTATTTTCCGTATGTCACGTTTAGGGGTGACGTGTAATATCCTCTATGTATGATTACTCAACATATCTGAATCTGAATCAAATACCAAAGTATGTCAATATACCTGAATCTGGTGCACTTAATGCAAAGTAAACACCCGGGTATAAACAGCGAAATCATTGTAAATTTACGTGCTAAAGGTGTATCTTTATCCTTTACCAGCTGATTGTTTTAGCACATATAGAATTAAAGTAATTCCGAAAAATGAAAGCAGATTTCTTGATTCGAAATATACAGAATAAAATTTGTATTATGCTTTCATTTTTCGGAATTACTTTAATTCTAGGTGTATCTTTATGTAATCATAGTGTTGAAGATTGCAATGCTATAGCGTCAACTTACACCTAAATAATTGTACATATGTACGAATTACGAAATGCGGTCAGTCATGTTAATTTACTCGATGTAGTATAATAGAGTACCATAACTACCATTACACCTTTTAAAGTTTCACAGCCACTGATCTGGGTTAAAATAGAAATCAGCTCGCAGTAAGCCCTGATAGAAATAAATTTTGTTTGGCACTGTATAATCATGACTGTATGTCAGTCGCATTTGAAGCAAATCGTCTCGATTTGTACGTCTCGTACATGTTCAAGCGACGTTTCCCTATATAGCTAATTAGATAATATTTAGATAATTTTTTTTGTCATTTTCGTTAAAACGATTTATGATATAAGGTTAGAATGCAAAAAGAGATCGCCTGTCAGTGTCAGTTTGTCACTGCTCGAAACTTCATATTGTTGCAATATTTGGACACCCAGAAATCTTAGCGCGCCGCCTATTTTCCGAAGTCAGCAGTTCTAACGGAAAATAGATTGTTTTTACACCTATAATGCATGTGCAGTTCAAAAAGTGACGCTTTCCACAGAAAATATCAAATTCTCAATAGTAAAATTTAACTGATATCATTGGGCACGTTATAAACTCACAGGTTTTCCATCGGGATACATCCCTAGCCTAAAACTCCCTTTACTGTGGAATTATATTGTAAGTGAAAATTATCAATAACGTTAAATTAAATATTTAGATAATAGCATTATTCATGTTTTAAATACGAAAAGATTGATTGGGGGGAAGAAGGATGTATTGCCATTCATATCAACCTAATTTAACCTCATCATTTTAAATTTCGACAGACATCGATGAATGTGCGGAGGGTAATCCATGTGGTTTCAATACGAATTGTATGAACACTAATGGTTCTTACACGTGCGAGTGTTTATCTGGGTTTGAAGGGAATGGAACAAATTGCACAGGCAAGTTCTAGGGTGGTCATATTTTGAACATTTTTCAATTGCATCAAAGTTTTAGAACACATTATATACAAAGATTGATGTTACAGTCCACTTTATAAACGTCCGCATCGTGTATGATAATTATACGATGTTAAAATGCTAAATCCGTTAACTAGCTATACAGTCATATCTGTTTCAATGAAACAATTTTTTTATTTCTTCAAGAGAGAAATACCGGTTAATTTAATGGGATTTATCTATTCCCTTGATAATTTCGTAAATTTGTACAATTATATCGAATATAGATATCAACGAATGTGAACGAAATGCTTCCTGTCATACAAATGCAACTTGCACAAACGTTCCTGGATCTTTCTACTGCGCTTGCAAAGCAAACTACAGTGGTGATGGCTTCTTTTGTGAAGGTAATCGCAAGGGTTAGCTGTCATAAGGTCGGCGTTAGATCATATCGAACTAACGTACATGACGTCATAAAATTTTCAATAACCCTAACCCTAACCGTCATTAAGGTAAAGCCAGAGATACTATTACATAAGTATATGATCACTCCTATACTGGGTATGACAGTAACAGACATTTACACTTTCGTGTACATTTATAAATGTATAAATGTATCATCATTCATCGCCGTTTTTATTTTATCATTTTTATGAACCAGCGCTAGAAAGATTTCATGTAAGACTTCTGTTATTATACTTCCGTTATTGCAAAATTTATGACGTCATGTACGTTAGTTCGATATGATCTAACGCTGACCCTGTCATAAGGGCCGATGTTCAGCTGTCATGTGATCTAGGGGTATCTTCGGAATAATGTAAAATGCATAATTTTATGAAAAAATTATTGGACGAGATTGAGCGTGAGATTGAGATTTAATCGGATCTAGGATTAGGCAGAATGAATTAAAAGACTTAATTTTAAATTCAAAATATTTTAAAATAATCTGCCAATGCGATTACAATTTTCAAAGTTTGGTAATTTATTCTGCCTAGCCCTGAATCCCGTTAACCTGGGGGGTTTGCCTTTATACGGTAAAACTATTTTATTCAGTGATTATTTTCTTATTTATTGATTTAATATTGATTTTAGAAACTATTATTTGTAGTTATGACTTAATAATTACAGAATGCCAGAAATTATTTGTAAATTTGACGCCAAAATTACATAGTCATAGTTACAAATACTGGGAGTTATAATAATTTGCAAATTTGACGTCATAATTATTTCTAGATGGCTAACATATCAAAGCAGAGATTGTATACAAATTATAGTGAATAATAATTATAGATATGGGTTATTAAAGTCTTTTTAACGTTTAACGGCGAGTGTTGTAGGTATTTTAAGAGTACAGTGAGGGTTTGCCTATGTATTCTCTATAATAATTATTTTTTGTAATTTGGGTAGTGTTGACGTGCAAAGTGGAAGCCCTATACTATGCAACAACCGATGCTATCAAAGGCGTATTCTCTGACGGTAACACGACCGTGACCATATTATCAGCAACCGACGTGAAACTAAATTATGATTCTGGGACTAAAAGACTCCTCTACTACGATGGCACCAGTCTTATCACAGTTAAGCTGGACGGAAGTAATGCAACCACGATAGCATCTCTCACGACCATCTCTCGATTTACAGTAGATCATATAACAAGAAAGGTCTACTACGTTACTGGACTATTCAAATCACTAAATGTTATTGACTTGAATACTGGAAATACAGCGGGGCTTAATCCAACCGATATTGCTAATGTTGACGACTTGGATAGTGATCCAGATAACAGGTGCGCAAATAATTAACACGTGAATAAATAAAAAATTCTATAAATTTTGATATACTCGCTCAAAATTTGTTGCTCGTCACTTTATAGTCAGTGTTACGCGTCTTGTCGGCAATCAGCTAATAGATAAATTAACTAGAAATACATGCATGCAGCAATTAACCCCTCGCCTCAGTTGAACGAAATTAGTTAAGCATAGGGATGGGAACATGATAGAAAATTTGTGTGGGTTGAGGGTTTGGAGGGTACGTGGTATGTGAGAAAAGAAGTATGAAAATATTTTTCTGGGCGTGGAAGCACTGTTATTTGTAGTCATAGCGACTCGCAACGGCCGTATATTTTCAAAGAATCAAAGTTTACCCTCATATTTTTGTGAAAAAATGGCAAAACTACGACAATGTTCTTACCTTTTTCTGGAAGTTAAGTCACTCAACTATAGCTAGTGTTATGGTAACATTTACTTATTTTAAATATTAATTAACGTGAAATATAACATCAGACGTCTCATACAACATCAGAAGTTTTATGTTACGCCTCGACTGGTTTTTGCACGCGAATAATTTGATTTGATTTTTGAATTATATGAAAACGAAGTTTATAAATCAAATTATATAATTCGTATGACAAGCGTTAAGCTTGCCAAACTCATCAGGTAAATAATATAATATTATACAACAGCACAACGACTATATACAAGAGACGCATAATTAATTAGTCATGTTTCATGTAATAGGTTACTAGGTGTTACTTAGCAAAAACTTCTTTCGATGCCGGCATGTGGAAACAAGTTCATTACGCTTGTTCAAAGAGCTTAACTCAGGATGACATATGATTATATAGATTTCTCGGATATAGGCATAAATTACAGCGTTTAGTTTTGTTGCAATACGATTGTGATTTCTTAATAATTTTCCAACTGATGGTGTACGGTGTATTAGAGTCTTTAATTTCCAAATACGTTTGCTTAGCTCGGTGGCGTTTTTCTTTGATTGATTGCGGAAAGAGCACTCTAATAATGTCGACATGGAACCAACCCTTGGCTACTCCACGAAGAATATCCCAAGAGCACAACCGAACATGTACCTTAGATGCCTAATTGAAAAGACGCAATCCTTTCTACAGCGCTTAAGATGGAAAGCCATTACCATTACCTTCATCCAACCCACACATCAAACACGAGACAAACATTTGGATTCGAAACAACAAACTCGCCACCACCAAGATAAAATGCTAACGGTAATCCAGAACATCGAATTCCAACCGACAACAACCGCCTTCCAAACTAAACAAAGACATCAAGAAAATAAAGAAAGACAACGAACTGTTCGTACCCGCAGATAAGACAACAAATTTCTACCGACTGAAACCCGAACAATAAAACAAACTTTCCGCAACAACATCACCAAAACCTGCAAGAAAACGCCAGCAAACAGCACTGCCAAAATCGTCAAAGAATTTTGCGCGAGAGATCTGATGTTAGACAACAGAATTGACACAATGGCTGAAAAGGAATGTTTTATTACACTAAAAGATCATAAACCGAACTTCAGTAACAACCCGTCATCGCGCCTCATCAACCCCGCGAAATCCGAAATCGGAATTGTAAGCAAATAAATCATCGAACGAAACCCTCGCATTTTGCATGTGTCGAATTCAATTCGGTTGAAGAAAAAGGCAAAGAACGTCTATGGAAATATGGAGGCCGTAGAAAGAAAAGACAAAAGAAATGAAGCAGAACAATCGTATTGTATTACGTGTGCATGAAAGTTGAAAAAATACATTTGCCTACCGCGTCTGTTTGTAATCGTTGCACAGTACGCGAACAAAACAAAGAATCCCAAGACTGGTTTGCTGGAAGCGTCTGGGAAGCAGTTTGATATTGCATAAAGTGCAATATATTTAGGCAAGAATATGAGGAAAATAATAGCAAGAAAAGGATTTCTAGAAATATGACATTTTTTATTTACGCCCAATCGGACTGTCGCTAATCATAAGGATTAGAGCCCGCAACCATTTGAATTCAACACATGCGAAATGCGACATTTGAAATGACGGTCGGATTATTGTTTTAGGGTCGAATCTAATAAGAATTGTATTCGACGCATGCAAAATGCGACGTTTGAAACAAGCCTAACAAAAGCTATCGTCTACCAAGCGACAGTGAAGAATGAAAGCACGAAAGAATCCCAAACCTACGTTGGCCTTACTGAGAACACATGTAAGACACGCTACCTCAACCATACCTGCTCTTTTCACAATAAATCAAAGAAAAACGCCAGCGAGCTAAGCAAACATATTTGGAAATTAAAGGACTCTAATGCACCGTACACTATCAGTTGGAAAATCATTAAGAAATCATAACCGTATTGTAACAAAACTAAACGCTGTAATTTATGCCTATCCGAGAAATTTATCATCATATATGTCATCCTGAATTAAGCTCTTTGAACAAGCCTAATGAACTTGTTTCCACATGCCGGCATCGAAAGAAGTTTTTGCTAAGTAACACCTAGTAACCTATTACATGTAACATGACCTAATTAATTATGCATCTCTTGTATATAGTCGTTGTGCTGTTATATAACATTATATTATTTACCTGATGAGTTTGGCAAGCCTAACGATATATATATATATATATATTCCATCTTTATGAAATATGAATTTATAAATTTCATCAAAATTTTGCGAAATGACAGTTATACAATCAATTATGCGCGTTAGAAAATACAGATTTTTGTCTCAACCAATCAAGAGCTTAGTACTGGTGCATGCGCATAACGTAGAGGACCTTCCATGGTGTGAGGTCTATTGCACATGTTCGTGTTTAATTAATTGTTGCATCAGCTCATTTTTCCTCATATGGTACGAAGGTCATATCATTCAACAGGGAAAAGCAATCTGCAGACATGCATGGTTCGGCGTTCAACGTCTCTTCAGTGCAGCTAGGTACATATATGATATGTATATATATATATATATATATATATATATATATATATATATATATATATATATATATATATATATATATATATATATATATATATATATATATATGATATGTATTTACGCACGTGCGTTTACTCTCACCAACCGCACGTGTTTCAACAAGAAACCATAAAAATTTACAGTCAAAACTGTAGCAAGGTTTCTGAAACATATAGCGGAATGAACTCGGACGAATTCGATTTCCTGTAACCTAAAAATTGAGTTCCGGGTTTAAATGCACGCGGCGAAATTAAAAGCGATTCAAATTTCAGAAGAATGATGATCCCAAATTAGTTTCGTATCAACTTTTCCAAACTACAGGGGCCGGTTGTATGAAAGCCGGATGGCGCTAACCACCGAATAGCGGGTTTTTCAACCGTTCTAAACATGCTCGAAGAGCAATAGAATTTCAGCTTCGTAACCAACCTAACCTCAATTAACCTAACCTCAATTAACCTAACCTCAATTAACCTAACCTCAATTAACCTAACCTCAATTAACCTAACCTCAATTAAGCTAACCTCAATTAACCTAACCTCAATTAACCTAACCTCAATTAAGGAATACTAAGATTTAATCAAAGTTATATACCTAAAATATATAGCGTTAAAAAAAATTACTATCTGGTGGATAGCGCTATCCAGTTTTCATGCAACCGGCCCCAGATTGATAACTTGCACTATACACGCGTTTAAGGATTACTTTTAATGTAAAATGTGTGAAATGGTATAATTCGTCCAAACGAAGGTTAATCTGTGTATCCCTACGACCCCACATTACTGGTGTTATATTGAACTGCATGGACATACTCTAGCAAATATACCAATCAAACATGCAGAAAGATAAAAATTGATAAAATTTCGGCGATCAAGTTAAAAAAATATAACGCGCAAACCCCAAGAATGGTCAATCCCGTTTTAAATCACCATGGCGACGCGCGGTGTATTATTCTCATTTTTAGATGACCGAAAGTTTATCTGTGATTTTCTTTTATAGAGATAGGGCCCAGATATATATAGTGTATTAACCACTGACCTGTATGAATATATTGTTCAGCGAATCGCTCTATAACTCGAGCGATAGGCTTACCTATAATTCCATAACTTACTAACATACTTTAATAAAAAGAAAGAAATACTGTGATTATCATAATCACATGGCTAGTATTTGCATGCCTTTTACCATAACTTTCAAATTTGGATTAATGTCTCTCTTTTTAGTTCCCTTGTATTGGCTGACTCCACCAGAGGAGACATTGTTCGCTATTTTCTCGACAATGACACAAATGAAGTTGTGTACCATAATGACACATCACCAAAATACCTGACAGTTGACCCTCAGTATAAAGTAATTTATTGGATTGATTATATCGATGCTAGTGATAGTTATTCTCTTATGAAGACATATTTCAATGGTTCAACGTCTGAAGTGAAGTTCTACCCTGGTACAACAAGTTCAGTAAACGTTGCAATAGGAAAAGATAATTTCTATGCAATGGATAGCACAAGGAAACGTATAGATGTGTTTGACAGACCCACTGCTACTTTCCAAGATTCATTTTTTCTCAGTGATTCTCCACAAGAAATAACTGTTGTTGAAGGCGAGTGAAACTTCAAAAAAACTGCATTCTTAAAAATAATCACCGGGAAAAGGGTTAAATGCGGCAGGTTCATTTAGTATATAAACAGGGAAAAATCATAGCTCCATTTACACTACAGCCAGTCAGTTCACGCTACTAATACAAAGGCCGCGAGCACGGATGAAATGAGTATACGGGTACCCATTCAGCCGTGCTTTATTGTCGTGCTAATAAATCGAGTGTAGTGTAAACGGGGCTCATATGCAATTGAACTTTATTTGCCGCTAAATATAAAGCACCAATATAGTATAAAGTACATAATCTTTTAACATGTAGCCTAGGTAGTTTAATATGTAAAAATTTAGGAATTATCTTTTTTAGGATAAGAAATAATTAACATTCCTTTTTTAACTTACATAATTATAATTTTCTACCTCAACTCGGCCAAGTATTGTATTTCGATGTGCAAATTATTATTGAAAAAGAATTTTGAGTAAGTGTTTTTGAAAGTGTTTTAACCTTGACCTTTTATGATCTAAATCAATCGATCCTGAACAAGTTTAGAAGGAAGAATAAATACTTGATTTACGCACCTCACAACTACTGATTTTTTCAGATTTGGATGAATGTTGTGTTGGTGGATATTGTCATGATAATGCAACGTGTACAAACACACCAGGAAGTTATTTCTGCACATGCAAGGAAGGCTATACTGGGATAGGAACTAATTGTGAAGGTACGCAGAGATTTTGTGTCATTTGTTAGCAAAACAGACGCAAACCACGACCAGCCCTGAACGTTATGAAACTCGAAATTAGGAAAATAACGAAAATTTCATTACGATCAGCATGCAGCTAATGGGAAGTGCAGCATATGGCTAATGCAATACTCTTTTTAAAACTCAAAATTGATAATTTTTTTTTAAAATATGTCCGTTCGGTTTCTAATGATATGGCAGACTAAAGCCGCTAACGAAGGCTGGATTACCTGAGCTAATATAGCTTTCGTGTGGCTGTTAGCTCAATGGTATATTGGATCTGCCTATACGTACGATTTCGGTGTGCTGGGGCGAACTGATGGAGGGAAATAGTTTTTATAAGTACTAAAGGCATGCAAGTGTAAAGAAGACAGCATTGCTCCCTGTACACCATGAGAAATAGGCAGAAAGGTGAAGACAACAGAACGAATTCTCATCTGTTGTGTTCTTTCTATCATGCAGATATATATAGTTCCGAAAAAAAATTATCGCTTTTTTAGAAGAAACCAAAATTGCTCAGTATTTTAGAAAAAAAGCGTGGTTTACACTGTCGGAGGAGATTGATAGGCCTAATAATTAAATGATTGTAGCAACCGAGTTTTCTGTCGTCCATACATGGTTATATATTTAGCTAAAAGGCTTCGCATTTAAAAATTTCTGTATCAAATAGGACATAATGTAACAAACGAAAAAGATGTATTGTAATCCTCGAAAACGTACAACCAATTAGTGCTTAAAGACTAGTGTCCAGTGAATGATCAAATACAGTGATAAAAGTGAAGTAAACATTAACCATTTCCGGTGAGGTAAAAGTTATATACCTTACTGAACATTCAAAACATGAAAACAGCTCAAATTAAGTCCCCGACTGGCAACTGAGGAGCTAAACGACGAATGTTGAATTTCACAAAATATATTACATTGTTTTATCAAAACTCCAAATTAATTCTTCAGAATTTTTTTAAAGTTAAACATGGCTTTCGCCTATCACAGGCTCTGAAATTTCTGAAATAAATTATAACTTAAAAAAAAATATCTATTCAATATTCAATATATAGAGCAATAAAAATACTACAACTGTCATTTCAGATGTTGACGAATGCATAACATCTCCCCCATGTCATTCCAAAGCAACATGCAATAACACAGATGGATCTTATATTTGCACATGTGATTCTGGATATTCCGGAGATGGATTTAATTGCACAGGTAAGACAACAGAAATATTTTTTACCAAATGTTAAGTAAAAAAGAGTAAATGGAAAATAATAAAGTGCTACAACGGTTATTTCAGAAATATTGTTTTGAACAAATGTTTGAGTAAAACACAGCAAAAAAATGAAAATGCCGGGTTTAATTGCACAGGTTATACAACGGAGATAATGTTTTTCACAAAGTTCGAGTAAAACAGAAAAAAAATGCTTCAACTGCCATTTTAGATGTTGACGAATGCGTAACATCCCCATGTCATCTTAATGCTACATGCAATAACACTGACGGATCTTATATTTGCACATGTGATTCTGGATATTCTGGAGATGGATTTACTTGCACAGGTAAGACAGCAGAATAGTTTTTACCCATTGTCAAGTAAAAAAAGAGTAAATGGAAAGTAATAAAATGCCACAACGTTTTTTTGGGAAATAATGTTTTTCACAAATGTTTGAGTAAAACACAACAAAAAAAGGAAAATGCTACAACAGCCATTTCAGATGTTGACGAATGCGTAACCTTCCTCCCATTTCTTTCCAATGCTACGTCCATTAACACAGATGCATCTTATATTTGCACATGTAATTCTGGATATACAGGAGACGGGTTTAACTGCACAGGACATACAACGGAGATAATAATATTTTTAACAAATGTTTTAGTAAAAAATAGAAGAGTGAAAAACAAAAATTTTTCGGCAATCATTTCACATGTTGACGAATGCAAAACATGTCCCCCATGTCAATCGAATGCTTCGTGCAATAACACTGACGGATCTTATATTTGCACATGGAATTCTGGATATACAGGAGACGGGTTTTAACTGCACAGGTTATACAACGGATATAATGTTGTTCACAAAGTTCGAGTAAAACACAAAAAAAAAATATTGCTTCAACTGCCATTTTAGATGTTGACGAATGCGTAACATCCCCATGTCATTCCAATGCTACGTGCAATAACACAGATGGATCTTATATTTGCACATGTGATTCTGGATATTCTGGAGATGGATTTAATTGCACAGGTAAGACAGAAGAAAAAGTTTTTACCAAAAGTCAAGTAAAAAAGAGTAAATAGAAAGTAATAAAATGCTATAACGGGTATTTCAGAAATAATGTTTTTCACAAATGTTTGAGTAAAACACAACAAAAAAATGAAAATGCTACAACAGCCATTTCAGATTTTGACGAATTTGTAAAATTTTCTCCATGTCTTTCCAATGCCATGTCCATTAACACAAATGCATCTTATATCTGCACATGTATTTCTTGATATACATGAGACGGGTTTAACTGCACAGGTTATAGCTACAACGGAGATAATATATATTTTTACCAAATGTTTTAGTAAAAAATACTACAGTGAAAAACAAAAATTTTACGGCATTCATTTCACATGTTGACGAATGCATATAACATCTCCCCTATGTCATTCCAATGGTACGTGCAATAACACTGACGGATCTTATATTTGCACATGTAATTCTTGATATACAGGAGACGGGTTTAACTGCACAGGTTATACAACGGAGATAATAATATTTTAAACAAATGTTTTAGTAAAAAATAGTAGAGTGAAAAACAAAAATTTTACGGCATTCATTTCACATGTTGACGAATGCAAAACATGTCCCCCATGTCAATCGAATGCTACGGTGCAATAACACTGACAGATCTTATATTTGCACATGGAATTCTGGATATACAGGAGACGGGTTTTAATTGCACAGGTTATACAACGGAGATAATGTTGTTCACAAAGTTCGAGTAAAACACAAAAAAATAATATTGCTTGAACTGCCATTTTAGATGTTGATGAATGCGTAACATCCCCATGTCATTCCAATGCTACGTGCAATAACACAGATGGATCTTATATTTGCACATGTGATTCTGGATATTCTGGAGATGGATTTACTTGCACAGGTAAGACAGCAGAAAAAGTTTTTACCAAATGTCAAGTTAAAAAGAGTAAATGGAAAGTAATAAGATGTTTCAACGGTTTTTTCGGAAATAATGTTTTTCACAAATGTTTGAGTAAAACACAAAAAAAATGAAAATGCTACAACAGCCATTTCAGATGTTGACGAATGCGTAACCTTCCTCCCATGTCTTTCCAATGCTACGTCCATTAACACAGATGCATCTTATATTTGCACATGTAATTCTGGATATACAGGAGACGGGTTTAACAGCACAGGTTATACAACTGAGATAATAATATTTTCAACAATTGTTTTGATAAAAAATAGTAGAGTGAAAAACAAAAATTTTACGGCATTCGTTTCACATGTTGACGAATGCAAAAGATCTCCCCATGTCAATTAATCCAATGCTACGTGCAATAACACTTAGGGATCTTATATTTGCACCTGTAATTCTGGATATACAGGAGACGGGTTTTAATTGCACAGGTTATACAACGGAGATAATATTTTTCACAAAGTTCGAGTAAAACATACAACAAAATTTGCTTCAACTGATATTTTAGATGTTGACGAATGCGTAACATCCCCATGTCATTCCAATGCTACGTGCAATAACACAGATGGATCTTATATTTGCACATGTGATTCTGGATATTCTGGAGATGGATTTACTTGCACAGGTAAGACAGCAGAAATAGTTTTTTACCAAAAGTGAAGTAAAAAAGAGTAAATGGAAAGTAATAAAATGCTACAACTGTTATTTCGGAAATAATGTTTTTCACAAATATGTTTGAGTAAAACACAACAAAAAAATGAAAATGCTACAACAGCCATTTCAGATGTTGACGAATGCGTAACCTTCTTCCCATGTCTTTCCAATAATACGTCCATTAACACAGATGCATCTTATATTTGCACCTGTAAGTCTTGATATACAGGAGACAGGTTTAAACTGCACAGGTTATACAACGGAGATAATGTTTTTCACAAAAATCGAGTAAAACATAAAATAAAAATTTGATTCAATTGATATTTTAGATGTTGACGAATGCGTAACATCCCCATGTCATTCCAATGCTACGTGCAATAACACAGATGGATCTTATATTTGCACATGTGATTCTGGATATTCTGGAGATGGATTTACTTGCACAGGTAAGACAGCAGAAAAAGTTTTTACCAAATGTCAAGTAAAAAAGAGTAAATAGAAAGTAATAAAATGCTACAACGGTTTTTTCGGAAATAATGTTTTTCACAAATGTTTGAGTAAAACACAACAAAAAAAATGAAAATGCTACAACAGCCATTTCAGATGTTGACGAATGCGTAACCTTCCTCCCATGTCTTTCCAATGCTACGTCCATTAACACAGATGCATCTTATATTTGCACATGTAATTCTGGATATACAGGAGACGGGTTTAACAGCACAGGTTATACAACTGAGATAATAATATTTTTAACAATTGTTTTGATAAAAAATAGTAGAGTGAAAAACAAAAATTTTACGGCATTCGTTTCACATGTTGACGAATGCAAAAGATCTCCCCATGTCAATTAATCCAATGCTACGTGCAATAACACTTAGGGATCTTGAATTTGCACATGTAATTCTGGATATACAGGAGACGGGTTTTAATTGCACAGGTTATACAACGGAGATAATATTTTTCACAAAGTTCGAGTAAAACATACAACAAAAATTTGCTTCAACTGATATTTTAGATGTTGACGAATGCGTAACATCCCCATGTCATTCTAATGCTACGTGCAATAACACAGATGGATCTTATATTTGCACATGTGATTCTGGATATTCTGGAGATGGATTTACTTGCACAGGTAAGACAACAGAAATATTTTTCACCAAATCTCAAGTAAAAAAGAGTAAATGGAGAATAATAAAATGCTATAACGGGTATTTCAGAAATAATGTTTTTCACAAATGTTTGAGTAAAACACAACAAAAAAATGAAAATGCTACAACAGCCATTTCAGATTTTGACGAATTTGTAAAATTTTCTCCATGTCTTTCCAATGCCATGTCCATTAACACAAATGCATCTTATATCTGCACATGTATTTCTTGATATACATGAGACGGGTTTAACTGCACAGGTTATAGCTACAACGGAGATAATATATATTTTTACCAAATGTTTTAGTAAAAAACTACAGTGAAAAACAAAAATTTTACGGCATTCATTTCACATGTTGACGAATGCATATAACATCTCCCCTATGTCATTCCAATGGTACGTGCAATAACACTGACGGATCTTATATTTGCACATGTAATTCTTGATATACAGGAGACGGGTTTAACTGCACAGGTTATACAACGGAGATAATAATATTTTAAACAAATGTTTTAGTAAAAAATAGTAGAGTGAAAAACAAAAATTTTACGGCATTCATTTCACATGTTGACGAATGCAAAACATGTCCCCCATGTCAATCGAATGCTACGGTGCAATAACACTGACAGATCTTATATTTGCACATGGAATTCTGGATATACAGGAGACGGGTTTTAATTGCACAGGTTATACAACGGAGATAATGTTGTTCACAAAGTTCGAGTAAAACACAAAAAATAATATTGCTTGAACTGCCATTTTAGATGTTGATGAATGCGTAACATCCCCATGTCATTCCAATGCTACGTGCAATAACACAGATGGATCTTATATTTGCACATGTGATTCTGGATATTCTGGAGATGGATTTACTTGCACAGGTAAGACAGCAGAAAAAGTTTTTACCAAATGTCAAGTTAAAAAGAGTAAATGGAAAGTAATAAGATGTTTCAACGGTTTTTTCGGAAATAATGTTTTTCACAAATGTTTGAGTAAAACACAACAAAAAAATGAAAATGCTACAACAGCCATTTCAGATGTTGACGAATGCGTAACCTTCCTCCCATGTCTTTCCAATGCTACGTCCATTAACACAGATGCATCTTATATTTGCACATGTAATTCTGGATATACAGGAGACGGGTTTAACAGCACAGGTTATACAACTGAGATAATAATATTTTCAACAATTGTTTTGATAAAAAATAGTAGAGTGAAAAACAAAAATTTTACGGCATTCGTTTCACATGTTGACGAATGCAAAAGATCTCCCCATGTCAATTAATCCAATGCTACGTGCAATAACACTTAGGGATCTTATATTTGCACCTGTAATTCTGGATATACAGGAGACGGGTTTTAATTGCACAGGTTATACAACGGAGATAATATTTTTCACAAAGTTCGAGTAAAACATACAACAAAAATTTGCTTCAACTGATATTTTAGATGTTGACGAATGCGTAACATCCCCATGTCATTCCAATGCTACGTGCAATAACACAGATGGATCTTATATTTGGCACTGTGATTCGGGATATTCGGGGATTTACTTGCACAGGTAAGACAGCGAAATAGTTTTTACAAAGTGAAGTAAAAGAGTAATGGAAGATAAATGCTACAACTGTTATTTCGGATATGTTTTTCACAAATATGTTGAGTAAAACACAACAAAAAAAGATAAAATGCTACAACAGCCATTTCAGATGTTGACGAATGCGTAACCTTC